GGGGCCTGTCTTTGGGGGGGGAAGGAATGCTATTTTGGGGGGGTATTGCCCTTTTGGGCGTTCATGCTGCTTTGGCCCCCCATGACGCTGTTTGTGACTCTCTGCTCTAGTCCCCGAAGAAGGTGGGCGATGACATCGCCAAGGCCACGGGCGACTGGAAGGGGCTGAGGATCACGGTGAAGCTGACCATCCAGAACAGGCAAGCCCAGGTAGCCAACGCCGCAGGGGACGGCCCGGGCTGCGAGCGCCCGCGGGCCCTGTCCCGGCAGGGTCCACTCAGCCCTTCATCCTTCCGAGGTCGATAAAATGAGTTCCACGCACGTGGCTGCGTGGGGGTCTTCTGGGAGACCCGGAGGGCGGGGGGATTGTTGGAACATGCCGAGCTCCGGCGTGGGCGCCGAGCAGCCGTGTTCGTGCACAAGGCCTGGGGTGGCATCGAGCTGAGGGCTCCCCGTGGGTGCACATCTGGCCCTGTGAAGCAGCTCCCTTAATGCTTCTAGAAGTGTGTTCACAAAGGAAAGCACCGTGTGGGGCGGTGCGAGTACCACCCCGTAGCCACCCGCCACTATACCTGTCCTGACGCCCGTGGCTGGTATATTCCAGTGGTGAGCTAAGAGCGAGTGCCAGCCAGGAAGCAGCTCTCCTCTGCTGTGAGGAGACCTGTGCCGAGAGGCCGGGAACACGTCCCAGCCCCGCAGCCCCTCTGCTCCCCAGGGGCTGCTTGTTAGGGGCATAAACCCCTTGTTTCACAACCTAATCCTCATTGGAAGGAGAAAAATGCATCTCTCTCCGTTTAGATTGAGGTTGTGCCTTCTGCCTCTGCGCTGATTATCAAAGCTCTGAAGGAGCCTCCCCGTGATAGGAAGAAGCAGAAAAACAGTAAGTTCCTGCTTGCAGTTTGGTTCTAAATACCAGTTGGGGCTAGGAGGGGTTTGCCTGTGTCTGGGTTATTCAACATACACTGAGAAGCAGAGGTCATGGGGCTGGGTTTGGACTGCAGGAATCCCCAAAATGTTACAGTACAAATAACAGCTGATAGAGCAGCCGAGTTGCACTTGCTGTTTGAAGACTGATTCATCTGGTTGCCTGTCACTGGTCTTGTAATGCAGTGTTGAGTACGGGCAGAGGGGAGCTGATTAAAAAAAAGACCAGCTGAGGAAACGGTTGCTCTTGTGGTGGGCAACTCTGTGCCCAGGCCTGGGCACACAGGTTTTGGTTGCAGTCCTGCTGCTCCATATGATTTAAGGGCTGTTAGTAGCTGCTCCCCTGTTGTTCAGGGAACTCGATGTGCCCTGCACTTAACTCACTAGTGCTGTGTTTGTTTTTCCTCCTGCACAGTTAAGCACAGCGGCAGTGTCAGCTTTGATGAGATAGTGAACATCGCACGGCAGATGAGGCACAGGTCCCTGGCTCGAGAGCTCTCGGGTGAGTTGTGCTGCAGGAAGCTGTACTGAACCCTCAGCTCCGTGGGGTGTCTGAGCCAGTTCTGGTTGGTGCACGAGGCTTTGGGGACGTGGGATCCCCTCATAATCCTGTGGGCTTGAAGCTCCCTGTGCAACTTGTAGGCTCCAGCAGCATCAAGCCATCTTTGTCTTGGCCATGAGTAGGCAGCCTGTTCCCTATGGTACTACAGGATGGAAAAACACATGAACGACTTGGGTCTGGCTTAAACTGCTTGCTCTCCTCTTGAAAACACTGGTTACAGCCTGCAAACCACATGCAGCTTAAAGACTGCTAGGAAGCAAGTTCTACTTCTTGGGTTTGAGGAGCTCTGAGCTGTGGGAAAGGAAGTAATTGCCAGGCAGGATGGAGAAACTGCTGTGAGCAGGAGGATTTGAGCGCTACAAGGGGAACACCCGTGGGGTGCTTGGAAAATCCCAGTGTTTGTCTGGTGAGATGCATCTGTGGGGCACTGACAACCTGTCTTCCCGCTGCAGGGACGATTAAGGAGATCCTTGGAACTGCCCAGTCTGTGGGCTGCAGCATTGATGGCCGGCACCCACATGACATCATCGATGACATCAATAATGGTGTGATTGAGTGCCCAGCTGTAAGTATCCATTTTTGGCTGCAAATGCTTGTTTTTGGTGATTAGTGAAGGGTTTCTTACTAATGAGCTGTATTTGCTTCTTTCAACAGAGCTAAGACTGCAGGAAAGAAGTTGTCGTGTGAAGGTTGTTGAGGGTGTCAGAACAGCCTAATAAAACACCTGGTTGTCTGTGACTAAAGTGACTGACTTAATTTGTCCTCGTCTGATGCTGCATGACCAGAGGGGCTCTTGAAACTGAAAGCTAAAAGTTGTATTTCATGTTTACTGCTGGGGGCTGTTTTCTTGGGACAACATGGAATTTTCAGAAGTGTTGCAGGAGTCAGAGGTGCCTCTAGCTGGGACTGTAGGCAGCAGCGCATAGCAAACTGACCTATCACTAACTTGCCCCCCTCAGGCCCTCCAAAAGGGCTGCTCTTGCCAGCGAGAATCCCCCCTATGAGGTGGGGCGTCTCCCTGACACCCTACAGCTGGGACAAATTCAGCTGCCAGCAACGTTTCCAAAGCTTGAAAATACCCGTGCAGGCTCTCACTGCCCAAATGGCCCTGTGTTGGAGAAGGTGCGTGTGGGATAAGGTGGCTTTGACTAGTACTTGTTTTAAATGAACTTTAGGGTGTGGCTGGGTGCTTGGCGCTGTCATCACAGACTGTTGAGCCAGCATTCCCATGGAGAAGGACAGTATAGCATTGTAAATAAGTGTGTATACATGTTACAGTAGGATTTTTGGCCTTGTTTAACTCCTGTCACCAGGAGCTTCTGGGTTAGACAACGTTGGGGGCTGTATCTTTGGTAACTGCAGAGCAGATCGGAACCTCTGTTGAGTGTTTTTCCTGCTGCTGAGCAGAGATCCTGGCCTTTCCTGCGGTGAGCGGGGCAGGAACCTGCAGCGCTGGCTCTGAGCAGTGCTGGGCTTGGGTGCCTCCTTCGCCGCTGAAGCGGAGCGAGCCCCTCTGCTGGGGGGCAGATCCTGGCGTCTGACCAGCCTCAGAGCTGCCAGGGGGCTGCTGTCCGGTCTCTTGGGTCTCCAGATCTCCTCAATATTGATGCTGGCCGAGCTGGGTAGGAAGCAGATACAGCCGCTGTCTGCAGCAAGTGCTCCACGTCCTGGGGAAACCTCTGAAAGGAAAAGCGCTGTCAGTGTCGCTGTAGGAGTGGGGTGGTTGTACAAACCCAGCGCCAGGTTTATCGAGGAGCAAATGCTGCAGCTTGGGTAGTGTCTGATGGATCCCAGATCCTAAAACCTGGCTCAGCAGTGAATGTTAGGGCTGCTTCTCCTAACTGAGTGCACTGGACAGGAGCATCAGCTTAACCCGCTGCCAAGTGCTGCTCACAGCTCGAGGGGCCGCTCGATGCCCTGAGGGGATCTGATGCGTTGGTCGGAGCTGCCCTGCCCTCCTGGGCGAGCGCAGGCCTGAGAATCATGGCAAGGATAAAGCAAAGCTCAGCCTAGCTCCTCCAGACTTGGGAGGAGCAGCTAGTGCAACTGCTTTCCTTAAAGGAAGGTCCTGGAAAACACCATGATCCGCAGGGATCTGATCCAAAGGACCAAGTGGGGCGGGACACTAATGGAAAAGGTTGTGAAAGCTCCATTAGAAGTGAGATTAGGATTAAGAGTGCTTGATTCTGAGGTCTTGCCAGAGGAACCGCAGTAAGTGTTGTGATAGTGCTCTGCTTTGGCACTGGTGGAGCTCCCTGGGGAGGAAGTTCCTGCCAGTCAGGAATGTTAATACAGACACTTCCAAGGGAAAATGGAATGGAGCTCTTCCTGCGAGGTCAGTATGGGGTTTGGAAGGGTTCTGCCAGGTACGTTTTCCTTCTCTGCAGTGGGGAAATAGCTGGGCAGCTTGGCTTTCCTCCCGCTGCCTCTTCCTATTGCAGGGAGTCAGGAATTGTTCTTTGGGGTCAGTTCCCTACAGCCCCGGAGCGTGGCCTTGTGCCTGGAGTGCCATCCTGGCATGGGGATGGGCTCCCATGGGGCTGGTGCTCCTTGGAATGGTGCCGTGCGGGACGGGAGCTGCTCCGCTCACCGGGGCACAGCTGGCCTGGGGTCCCTTGCAGGCAGAAGCCGATGTAGCAGCAGGGCGAGGGCGGCCGCGCGGGCGCCGCCGCGGCGCGTGGGCCGGGGGCCGAGCGGCTCGCGGCTCCTGTGGAAGGAGAGGAGGAAGCTCGAGGCTCCTGCGCGCGGCAGCCTGGCGAGGGGCAGCTGGGTCGGGTCTCTGCCCGGGATGCTGCTGTTCAGCAATGTTTGCTTCTAAATACACAGAAATAATGTTACTCCTCATGCACAAACCCCTCTGCTCTTCCTAGGCTCTTGAAGACAGCTTAGATGCAGAGCAATTCAGCCTGTTGGAGGAAAATAAAACCTTCATTTGCTCTAGCCTAAGCCAGGGTGTGGATCTGACCAGCTTAGGCCGAGTCTTCAGTGCTGCCTCTCTTGGCACACAGCAGTCATGCCCTAGGTATGTATCCTGTGCTGCTTGGGAAGCAGAAAACACATTATGTTAGCAGGGAGATCTTCAGGGATCACCTGTGTCTGCAAATAATTCAGCAACAAACAGACTGCTGCTCTGGCAAGACTGCAGGTTCGTGGCTGCTCTGCCTCTGCAGCCGAGTAGGCTGAACATCAGGACGGCGGCTGCAGGGGAAGGAGCAGCCAGGCCTGGCCTGGCAGGGTGCAGAGCATCAGGTCGGCCTGGAGGGCAGCCAAGGGGAGCTGCTCGTTGTGTCCCTCTTCCACCACAGTCCTGCTGCTTCCTCCAAGGCGTTTAATAAAGCAGCAGCCCGAAAAGTCCACGTTTTGCTCATGGGCAGAAGGGAAAGGTGCACAAAGTAAAGGGGGTGCCAGGAGCTTTGGAAAAAGACTGAGCTGGAAGTTGGGAAGAGAACAAGAGAGGAGGACAGACCTGTGTAGGGAAGGGGCAGACCAGCGGGCTGGCGTTTTCTTGGGAAGTCCAGCGTGGTCCTTCCCTCCCTGCCGAGACTTGGGAACGCTGCCGTGGCTGCCTGGGTGCTCCGAAGGTTGAGCTCTGGCTGCAGTGAAAGGGAGAAGCGGATATTTTTTCCCCTGTTTTATTTATTTAATGAACGTGAACAACCATAGGAAGCGCTCACTCTCATATATGGCACCTCCCAGCCCATTACCAGTGGGGTGAAGGGTTTCTTCCTCGCTCCGCAGAGAGGAGTTTGAACCTTTTTGCCCCATTCCTAAAGCAATTGTGTCTAGAACTGGACCCCAGTGCTCAGCAGAAGTCAATGCAGAACCCATCAAGTTTTGCCCACAAACAGTTTTGGGCGTCTCTGCTCCCTTACAGGATGGGATGTCCTCTTAGGCAGCTCGGCCTGTGGTCCAGGCCCTTTCTGGCCCATCCGGGCTCCTTTGTCTACCCTGTCCCTCTGGACACAGGCAAGGCAGATCTTTATTAAGCTTATTTAGCAATGCTTGAAAGCTGAAATCCAGGGCACTTGCTATGCCGGGGAGGCAGCTTTGACACTTGCTGAATCAAGGCCTGGTGCTGTGCCCTCTGCTCTGGCACGTTCCTCACTGCTCCGCCACCCCGAGTGCCTGCTGAACCTCACCAGGAAACTGAGCTGTGTGCAATTAAACTAGCAAAAACGGATATTTTAACACAGCTCTCCAATTTCTTTCATGATAAAATTCAAGGACAAGTGCAAAGTCCTGGCCCAGCACAGAATAATCGTGAGCCGTTGGGTGAGTATTAGGAGGCAGCTCCGTGTTGACCCAGGGCTGGCTACACGTTGGGCTGTGCTGGCTGGAATGTAACCAGCAGGTCTGTACTCCACATGAGGCCACATCTGGGCTCCCCAGCGTGAGGGAAGTATTGGAAAAACAGAGTTTAAAGGAGAAAAACCTTCATGATGCAGGTGGTCGAACAGGGGAGCAGGGACCTGGTTGGGTGGTGGGATTTCACTTCTTGGGGATACTCAAAACTCATGGATGAAGCCCTGGGAAGCAGCTCTAGCTCCGAAACCGGCCCCATGTCCAGCAGACAGCTGGGGTCCCTTCCAAGGGGAATTATGCAGCGATTCTACAACAGGGCTGCACAAAAGCTCGTACTGCCCGAGGGCAGGAACGAGCAGCCTGGGTGGCAGAGGATTACACCGCTTTTCAGCAGCGATTGCAGCATAAACACGTTCAACACGCGCGATGCTGGGGTGCGACCCGCCACCTCAGCGCTGTGCAGCCAGAGAGGCTCCAAACCGTCCCCGGGGCTGCCCTCTGCACCCGAGCAACACGCGCTGCTCCCTCCCCTTTGGCAGAGCTGGGAAGAACTGGGAAGGGTTTTGAAGCTGGTGCTTTTCCTCAAAGGAAACACTCGCGGAGGGGGGACGCGTGGTCTGAGCCTTAAAGGAGGTGGCGACTTACAGTGACTCTGCTCTGCGGCTCCGGCGTCCCGGCGCTGCTCCGGAGCCAGGGCTGCTTCCCGCTTCGCGGGGCTGCACCTTCGGGGGGGACACGGGGGAAAGGCGGCGCGCGGGGCCCGTCCCGGGGAGCCCGGCGAGGCGGCGCCGCGCGCGGAGGGACGGCGGGGGCGC